ATCGATCGATCGATCGATCGATCGATCGATCGTAGAGTTGCATGGCAATGCCACATGTAATTTGGTAACACAGTCATCCGGAACGCTCATTCAGAGGGGCTGAGAGGTTCCAGGAGGTAAATACTTTTGCAGGGAAGATACTGGCTTTTCAGGTTCTTCCAGGTTTTCTAGAATGTAGCTGGATGTCCAGGAGACACTGGGCCACAGACAGACTCTGCTGTGCACGCAGGCACATGTGAAACAGCCAGGAAGGCTGGGAGAGGTCAAGAGGGTTGCTGACACCTGAGATACCTGTTGGAGAGACAGAGAGAGAGAGAGACAGTGACCTACGAGGGGTGAGCACTGAAATGCTTGGAGCTGAGGAAAGCTACAGAGCGATACTGAGGACTGTATATGCGGAGAAATACAGTAAAGTCCTGGGACTATCACACTGGGAGTGTATGGGACAGCCAGATGTCAGTGAGACCAAAACACAATGAAGGGAATTTATCATAGCCAGAGCAGACAAAGTCTGGGGCAACTGTGCATGGCAACCAATCAGCTTCGCTCTTTAATTTTCAAATCTTAACTGAACAAACTGAAGAGAGAAACTGATTGGCTGCCATGCACAGCTGCTTCAGGTTTTGTGTGCTCCTGTTTTGATAGATTCCCCTCAATGTTTTGATGAAAGTTAAATGAACTATTATGTTTCGTTAGGCTGAAACATGTCAGTGAGACCAAAACACAATCGGGGGAATTTATCAAAACTGGAGCAGACAAAATCTGGAGCAGCTTTGCATGGCAACCAATCAGCTTCTCTCTTTCAATTTTAAATCTTAGCTGAACAAACTGAAGAGAGAAGCTGATTGGTTGCCATGCACAGCTGCTCCACATTTTGTCTGCTCCAGTCTTGATACATTCCCCTCTATGTTTTGATGAAAGTCAAATAAACTGTAATGTTTCGTTAGGCTGAAGAAAAACAGATTATTAGGTGAAGTACATGGATTGTTGACCTTTATGTGAATAAAGACTGTCCTCCTTAAATTATGTGATATCCATTACAACATGTCTTATTTCTTCCATTGTGTGCACCACAGGTCCGACGGATATAGGGAAAGATATGCAGCAAGTAATGGGCATTCTAAAATAACTGCTGGCAGATCTTACCACAAATCATTTGATGATGCAGTGGCGCAGAATCGTCTATCCCATGACGCATTGCCTTTCTCTAATGTAAAAAACAAGAACAGATCTGGAGATTTTAGTAGATGTCTAGACAACCTTCTGACATCAATAAACAACCTAACTCAAAGGTAAGTTGAGAGTCTGACTTATAACACATTCCTGATTCTCTAAGAAATACACCCTAATAAATGGACATAGCATTAAAAGGCACCTTCTAATAGTATAATATGCACTGGTCACTAAGCTTTGTAAAATAACTGAAAAAGTCAAAAGATTACCTGAGTTACATTCTTGTCCATCTCCATAATGCCGATTCAGATACACATTCAGGAGATGCTGTTTAGACAGCCAAGTTTCAATACAGATCTTGTCTATAAGTTAGATTTTGTATAGTGTCCACAGTTTATTCTCCTTCTTGTCTTCACTGATTAGGTTGCAGTCTTGTCCTTTAGATACTTATTTGTGGCAGCTCTATAATACAGTTTACAGGTGAAAATGTGCAAACATAATCTTAGGTTAGTTACCCTTAGGTATTAGATGCCCATGCAATAATTTCAGCAAATTCAGACTACAATCAGTTATTGTGTAGGGTACCAGATAATCTTAGGCAATCTTCATTAAACAAAGGTGAATTTGTTCAATTAAAAATGTATGCAAGATTGTTCTACAGTCTCCATGCATAGAAAAGAGCAGGACAATGAATGTGAGCTCCTAAGAATGTGCCCTCCTAAGACAGTGTAGTGGATGATAGAGGTTAGGTCATTACCTTTGGTCTTAATATACTAGAGAGCTACTGTGCGGGCATGAATTGCAGGCAGTCCCATGAGACTGGATTGTGCCTCTTAGTATACAGTCCATGAACCCATCGCACTAAAAACCGCTGTTCCTTATAAAAGACGAGTGCTGTGGCAGGCGACGGATGGCAACATAGACACCGGCACTCCAAGTAATTAATCAATGGCGTCTGTTTATTGACGCATGAAACATAGCACAATGCATCAAAAAGCAACGTTCAGGGGTCTCACAGGATCCCTTCCATCAGGCAAAATGAGTGATGCAAACACAAGTGAAACCATATACATATATACACACCATACTGTGGAAATGAGCCAATTCCCTAGTCTGCTGTGACCATGTGACGTCCTAATGGCATCACAATCCCACCGTAGTAAAACATTTGCAGGTGTGGTAATCAGGTGATGAATGCATAGTCTATAACAAGCACCGCCTAGACAGATATGCATGTACAGAGAAATTGAACAGATTTAAATGCCTTGTAAATACACATAGGCCAGGTGCCAACTGAGCACACATACAGGCAGAGAAGCCATTTTGAGCAGTGGGGGAGTGGCCTATCGCTATCCGACATGTCAGGCCGCATATTGCATCCAGAATGTAGGGTTTGGCTGTAAATACAGTCCACACTGTGATTGGCCGCACACACCTACAGGGTGTGGGATCGGCCACGTCACCAGTACCCATGGATGCAGATACTACTAGAAATACAGAACTACTAGAATGAACCTATTTGTTTTTGCAACGGTGATGAATACTTTTCCCCACCCTTTCCCATAACTCTCTATTCAGCTTGTGGGTGCATTTTGTGACCCATCTTTTCCTTAAAGGAATATTTGGGTCAAGCATAACTAAATGTATTTTTTTCCGATGCAATAGCTATAGATGTGTGGTTTGCATAAGTTGCTGGATCCCAGGACTGGATCTTCCTGGGTAATGATATGGCCCTGTGTTTAAATATTTACACAGTCTAAACTTTTACTGCCATTAGCCATCAATTAACAAGTGTAATAAAAGTGGAAGGGGAACTAGGCCTAATTTTATGTCAGTTAGGGCAAAGGTAAGAAAACCACCCACTGCTATAATAGCAATTCCACAGAAAAAAGTAATTGAGAAACCTGCATTGGTGACCCAGATTATTTACATAGAGTATCCTGTTTGCTGATACATTTGTCAGATTTTAGGGCTAATGTGTTGTATAATGCGGAAGTTTTATATAATATGTGTGTTTGCTCATATAAGAGTAAAATGATATGTACATAGTTATGTGAGTATATTGGGAATACCCTACCTGCAACCCGTTGGCTCTAAAATGGGCATTATATGATATGTATTCAGTAAATTGAGTGCTGGAAAGTCCCATAAACTGATATAATTATAGACTTATGGTTTGTACGGCTAGCATTTACAATACAAGTATATACACTGTGTGGCCAGATTATTATGACCACCTGACATTTGTAGGCAAATTAGCTATAATTTCGCACTGAAGGTGCTTGAGGGCCAGACCATTATAAATAGGGAAGCAGGTTGTTTACCACGACAGTAGAAGTGATTTTTTTCTGAAGATATGGGTAAACAACGCAAGTTACCAGCCTTTGAACGTGGGATGATTGTTGGCGCTCGGAGCCATGGAGCGAGTATCAGCAAAACAGCAGAATTCGTTAAATGTTCAAGAGCAGTTATTGTTAAAGTGTTTAAAGACTGGACTGTCAGCCGAAAATCTGGGTCTGAACGTGCGAATTGTGGCCGTCAGCGACTAGTCAATGTTAGGGCAGAACGGAGAGTGGCAAGACTGGTACAAGACAACAGAAGGGCAACAGTGCATCAAATTACTGCAGATCTTAATCAGGGATCCTCTCAAATGATCTCTGAACGCACTGTTCGCCGTACACTGCATCGTATGGGATATGGAAGCCGAAGGCCTGTTCGAACACCTTTGCTGTCTGCAGTTAACAAGATAAAACGTCTCCAATTCGCACAGGAACACAAGGATTGGACAGTCGAGCATTGGAAAAAAGTAATGTGGTCTGATGAATCACGCTTACAGTTGCATCATGCAAATGGCAGAGTGAGAATTTGGCGGGAACAGCATGAAAGCATGCACCCCACATGCATGAGTACAACCCTTCAAGCTGTGGGGGGCAGTGTTATGGTTTGGGGCATGTTTTCCTGGCATGATTTGGGCCCTTTAATTTGTGTGGAACAAAGTCTGAATAGCACAACATACCAAAGTATCGTTGCTGATCAAGTTCATCCTATCATGTTGATGGCGTATCCCAATGGAGATGTCTTCTTCCAACAAGACAATGCACCATGCCACGGTGCTCGTATGGTGCAGGAGTGGTTTCAAGAACATGAGGGAGACTTTACCTTGCTTAGTTGGCCCCCACAATCACCAGATCTCAATCCAATTGAGCATTTGTGGGCCGAAGTTAAAGAGCCATCAGGCAGCTGGTTCCACAACCATCAAATCTCACAGAACTGGACAGTGCTATTCATCAGGCATGGTGTCAGATTCCTCGCATCACCTTTCAACATCTCGTTAAGTCAATGCCAAGAAGAATCGCCGCTGTATTGAAGGCAAAAGGTGGCCCAGCGAAGTACTGATGGGGTGGTCATAATAATCTGGCCCCTCAGTGTAATGAGTTATAGTAAGGCCATCACAGGCAATCTGCTACACTGTTGTCATTAAGGTATCAATGATTTATAATGGTCCCTGGGTTTGCTTTTACTTTACTGCACAGTTTGGTTTGTGTTGTTGAAATTGTTACACAATTTTGATCAATTAATAAATAACATTTTGATAAAAAAGATACCATTTTACATTTTTTTCTGTCACTCAACTTGGTTTTTCTGTATTTATTGTGTTGACTGTATTGATTTTACTCTATAATCTGAAGTAATGCCGGCCCAAGACCTGGGGTGCCTGCTGGGATATTCAGTGTATGTTACTGCTTGGGCCTTGGAATGACACCTGTTGGAAAGCCTTAGCCCTGGTAGTCAGTTAAAATCTTTCATTCCGCTTATTACAAACTAGAAGTTGAACATTTAAAGGATCTATATGGGCAAAATGTTGAGGGCTTCTGACAATTACACTGACTATATGGTGGTTACCTCTACAAATAATTGAGTTCAGGTGTTTTTAGTACAGGGTATCGTTAAAGACGATAACTGTTAAAAACCCTGTCAGGTAATTTTTTGCTTTCTGTGTCCTGTTGGGCAGACACAACAGGAAGTAAAAGGATATCTCCCCAAACTGAGGAGAATTCCCCTCGTAGCCTCCCTGGCCGTATTCCCGAGTGTGGCTCGGGGTTAATTTTCAGTACCGGAGCGTTAACCCCGAGCCACACTCGGCATTGCACAAAAGTGTCACTTACCTTGTCCCTACGAGCCTGCGGTGTCCTCTGCTGTGTGCGCCCTGGCCGATGCCGGCATCTGACTTTTAATTTCGTTTTCGGCATCACAGCGGGGGGCGGAGCCGGCGGGAAATTCAAAAGTGAAAACATGCAATATACACAGAATACACACAATACAGTGTAATGACAGTTGTCACTGGAACAGGTGTCCCTATTAGAAGACTTACATTCACCTTTTGTTCTGGTGACAACAACTCCTAAAATGTTTGATTTTCTCTCACTTTCTGTCGGTAACAATGGCAACATGTACAAATAGACAGAGTGAATCCACCTATTAGAGTCACAGATAGCAGTAAAAATTTAACTAGGGTTGGGTTCTTATCCTTACCACTCTGTTCAAAACTAAAAAAAAAGTTTTGCCTTTACATACAGTTTAAGGCTAAAGCATATAAAGACATTCTAAACAACAGTGCGTTTCCAACCTTGTGTAGGTGCGTCTTCTTTTCCCACATTACTGTAGCCTTGTGCCAAGGTCATATAAGAGTGTAACAGGTCTTGGTGTATAAAGTTTGACATACGTAGTTGAATATTAGAAAATGTTCAGGCTCCCAAAAGATCTCTCCACCTAATGGCATTCACATATGATCAAATAAGCATGCCTCTTTACGTGAACAGCAGGCACCTCACCTTGGGTGAAGAATAGATTATTAGCAAAATAAACCTTCAAATTTGGCCTATTGGTTTTACTCATGGAGTTCCAAAAGAGTTAGCAGATGTTTAAAGTGCCCAGTAAGCAAATAGTTTGTCATCTGCTCCTCATAAAATCACAGATATCAGGTATCACGCATCAGACAGCAATCAAGTAATGTGTTCTCAACCAAATTAACAATTTTGCAAAAATCTTCTGATTTTCACCCAAATTTTTAGGCTCATTCTAGTAGTTCATACATAGAAATGCATATAAATACTTTAGGTTGGACATACACAGACACAGTTCTAGTCAAAAGGAGATAGAGCTAATGTATAATGAATATGTTATTAGAACATTGCTCCCTTTTCTAGAAAGAAAAGGAAATGATCGTTCATTTATTACCGAGCTTTTCCAATATGTTGCCGTACTTTCAGTATACACTATCAGGGTTATTCACAAAAGGGTGAAGAGTTGGAGAAGTCAGGAGAAGTGAACAATCTAGGACAACATAGCTGATTTGGAAAAAGTCTCCAATTCAGCTCACTTTCCACTTCAGCTATGTTGTCCTTTATTGCCTTCTCCAAACTCTTTACCCTTTTGTGAATAGCCCTGTTATTACTGCTTTAATTACTGCCTTTACAATGGATTTTTCACTGCTTGCAAATATTGACCTTGGTATGGTCTCTATTTATTGTGTTTTTTGCCTCATCAAAGGTTTTAATGTTCTGTAATTTTCCCAGATCTTTTGCTAATGCTGAAAGTGACTGCAGAAGTAGAAGTGTTTCAACTTATAATCAGAGCTGCCCTCCACAATTTGAAACTGCTGAAGATGAAGACTGGCTATATGAATCAGTTATCAGTGAGGACGAATATTATAATAACTCAGAATTTAGTGGCACTGAAAGTGTGAGTGACAGTGAAGATCCCATGACTTATAGTTATTCATCCAGCAAGTAAGTAAAACAAGTCAATATATGGACAAGTGAAAGAAAATTTGCTAATAACTTTTTTAACAATGTCATTAGATTATCTTTGTTGTCTTTTACCTGTTCATTTCATGATGCATGTGGTAGTCAGGGGATAACGACTTTCTATTCCTTCCAACTAGGGATGGATTTCGTCCGCTGAAACATATTGGCCAAAAATTGTACTTTTGGCACAATCCCGAAAGTACAATTTTTTTGGCTGAAAATGCTATGCATCTCTAGTTTCTCTCTTCCCCGCTGGGCATGGGGGACACAGAGCAGCGTCAAGTGGGGAGGAGGGAAACTGTCACGAGGCCAAGCACTCTACATCATTTCCTGTTCATTCATGATTGTGGACATAGTATCTCATACTATCTCCACAGTTTATAAATGGACAGAAGCACTCAGTATAGAGGCTTCCTGTTCATACATTATTTAACTTTACTGCCCCCCAACAGTAAAGTTAAATAAATAAAAATAAACATCAAATTTGATAAAAAATAATTTTAAAAAGGTTAGAAAAAATAATAATTTCAGTTTCGGCCTGACTAATTTTTTATTTCTGTTTTCGGTATGAAAATTCAATTTCAGTGCAGCTCTACTTCCAATATATTTTATTAATATCTAATTATGAGGAAGTAATATGTAGATGCAAGGATTTCTATGACTGCTATAAGATGTCAGGAAGGACTTGTTTTTCTTTGGTAGCACATTTTTTCTTCATTTTAATCAACCGTGGGTTTTTTTTAATGTTATCTTTTTTAAGGTAAACATAGTCATTCTACTGTAGTTCTTCCATACACATACATGGAATATGGACATTTAAGATATCTCGTATTACTAATGCTAGCACATGATTTTTGCACTGTTTCTTTATACTCTACTTTATTACTTAATGTAGAATGGTTGTTTTAATCTTTTTTGAGTGCAGTTTTTTCAAAAAGCCTCACCTACCTTTTTAGTTGCTCCTGTCCCTTAGGGGAGTACTTTTTCCCGTCTTTCTACATGGTGTATACGCTGTGCTACCGTGGTTGACAACGCTAACCCTCTTCCCACTGCAGATAACAAGGAGATGAATACCTAATGAGCCTTGACTGATGGAACTTGTCTCCAGCTCCATGTGCTTGCCTGAGACCAGAGCATCACTAGGAATGCAGGGGAAGGAGGGGGAGTTAATTTGCCACTAAGCTCCCTTGTTTGCCGGCCACATAGACCTGGCTTCCCCTTCCCTCATCTCCTTGCTAGCAGTTCCTCTTTTCTATCCTATCTTTGTGTTACTGGGGTTCAGCTGGATCATCCACCCAACAATCCAACATCATTGGTTGCTAGTACATAGATGACTGGGCTGCGCAGCATCATGTGTTGCCACAGTGTGGGCCTCTAAGCCACCAGCACTATAACAACCAGTGCCACCTTCATTCTAGCAACCAATGATGCTGGATCGCCAGCTGCTGCTGTGAGACAAAGAAGGTAAGACAGGGGATTTGGGTGCCGCAGTTAGCAATGGCATATCAGAAGGGCAGCTTAGGGGAATGGTCAGTATAAATAATGTCAATGCTCCAGAAAGGCGCTCCCAACAGACTTGTTCATTGAACAGGGGGCGATGGCAACTGAGCTCTTCCTGAGCTCAACAATAGCGACATTCACATATCAGGCTTTTGGAAGGTAAGGAGCTGATAAGCAGGAATGGAAGAACTAAACAAGGGATTTTCTTTACAAGCTATTAGCGTTTCCCTGGAGAAGCATAGATAGGTATTTATATATGACTGTATGTACCTGATTAGAATTCTTCTTGAGTGGTTGCTGGCAAAATCAGTAATTTTATTAAGGAGCATATTCATCTGATGTATAAGCTGCCTTTACTACCAACACAACCCTTCAAACCTGTTGGATTGGGCCTTTATAGTGAGGCTGCAGGTAATAGGACCAGACCTAATCCTGCACGCTCCTCACTCCTCAAACGTATTAAGTAGAACTCACAAAAAAGGAACACAATCCCTAAGATTTCATCCTTATAGTGCTTATTGTGACAGATACACACCATTTTTTTAAGTGTAATACCTCTCTGACAACAAACTAACTCTGTCACTGTTCTGCAACTATAAATCAATTTCACATCTCCTTTGTGAGTGTAGCTGATTCATTTCTTAGCTGTGTAGAAAGGGGAGAACCTTGCATGTATCAATACTAAAGTGAAATCTATGATATGCTGCGCTTGGTATGTGAAATAAAAAATAGGTGAACAGCTGAATGGTTTAAGAGGAAAGCCCCCTCTCATTCGGTGTCTCCACTTGACCTTTTTTCTTTTTATATATCTTGTTTGTTATATTACTTAGAAGATTGTTCTATATTGGTTTGTCATATTGTTTTGGTGTACCATATCGTTTATACCCACAAGCTTATAAGCGGGACAGAAGTCTTCACCACAAGTTTACACTATAACTGGTTTAAACACTAGTAAAAAAAAAATATTTTCTTCCTAAGGATTGGGGAAAACAACACTCAGTCACACCTTTCTATCTAATAGCTTTTATTAACACAAGAGAGTATTTGCACAATAAGAGCTCACATAGGCTTTTTTGGAAATCATTTATTTACAGAAGGAATCACTGTATAAATTAAATTCATTCATTAATCAACAATGTAAGAGAATATATGCAATAGCTCACGGTCACATATTAATATAGGATACATAGTTGTTTTCAATTAGTTCACCTATTTTTTATTTCACATACTAAGCGCAGCATATCATAGATTTCACTTTGGTTCTGATTGCACATTGCTGCAGCTGGTCATTATTTACACATAGTGTTTCCTCCTAGCGCAACTTTTTGTTCTCTTGACTATATATCAATACTGCATCCCTAGATATAATGGAATTGTTTTTACGTCATCATACTAAAACTAGACCCCAGTTAATATATGTACTAGCTGGTTGTCATGGGTTACTTTGCATTACACATTGATGTTTGCATTGTCCTTTTAAATGATCCTTCTCTTGTGCCATAGTATCTCAATAGATAAGCCATGATTCCATTTATCCAGGTCTGTGAGAAAGTGAGGCAGCAAGGGGTGGTATGGGGTTTGTTTTAGCTACAAGTGGAATCTGCATTGCCTCAATGAGGGAATCCTCTGAAATTTGTGAGTGGGCTATATACATCCACCTGGACATTTTATCATTCAAATGGAATGGGTAGTATAGATAGCACCATATAATACCTGTGTCATGTGGCACCTAAGCCAAAAGTTGACTTTGCTTCCTGCATTATGTCATTTTTGTTGTGACTTGATTTTCAGAAACATCACCAATAATATAGAAAAAGCTCAGGGAAGTAAAATTTTATAGGAAATTACCTTGCATTTGACAATCTGACCTTCATAAAATGTATTTTCATCACTGAACCTATCTTGTGTCTGCATTTTGTACATTATTTGCATTCCTGTAAATACAATGTTCTTCAGTTACAGTTATTCTGACCACATGGACAGCAGTGCCACAAAAGGAAACGTGCCACTGACACACTATGGATCAGGTGATGGGGAACCCTGTTCTCAGACTGGTTATCATGATACATTACCTACCTATGGCAGCTCCTCCAATGTGGGCACAGAAGCAGATGAAAGCAATAGGATTTATGTGAATATTCCTCAGATAGAAGAGCCTGTGTATAATGAAGTCGATTCTAGGACTCTGGCACCTGAAATAAATGAACTGATTAACACAGAAATAGAATATGTTTGCTCCCTGCAACTTCTCATTTCCCACATTGAGCCCAGACTGAAGGAGGTAAAAAATGTTTAATTTTACATGTTTGTACAGTCTTTTGTTTAAACAGATATTCACTTTATATTTTTGTTAATTGGTTATATTTTTTCCATAAACTCCTCCTCTTCTTTAAAACTGAACAACAAGCAGATATAAAAACAACACAAATAAATGCAGTTATGCATTCATTTTAAACTCTTTTAGATGTATTTTTGAAATGTAACTGTAAGGTACTGGAATCTCAATTGATGCCAGCCTTTTGTAATCCCCTGGTAGAGGAACATGGTGACAGAACATATTGGCCATAGAGCAGACTGTTCAGAGAAATTACCTTACCAGTGTTTTTCTTCTCCTACACTGCCTAGCCACAGATTGGGGTCATGAGGTGTCCAAGCTGTATTGCTTAACTTTAGTAGAGCAATTGTAGTAGATATGATGTAAATTCTAGAGCAAGCTGGACAGAATTACAAATCATTTGTTGTGCAAAGCAGCATATATAGGTGTTTCATATGTGGGTTTTAGCTGCCCAAAGCAAAGCTGCAAAACTTCTCATGGGCTTGGCTTCAAAATCAGCAAAGGAGATTTTTATTGCCACCCCAGGGTTGCTTAATGGGCATTATTGGTCTATAAAAATAGGAAATATTCACCTCTGATATAACTGCAGAATTCCAGAAAAGTTGAGGTATTCAAAGTTACCGTGGGGTCGGGAACTTCCAACAACTCGTTAAAAAATCTCTGCAATGTGGCCAAACCTCTTTTCAGAGACAACAGCTAAATTACACAATTCTCCATATGGGGTTCTTTGCTTTTCGAGGGCATGCATTTTTCTCACAGGCTGTATCATAGAGAGCTGTTTTCTATAGAATTTCCTTGAGGAAGACCTGATAGCTGATAATAGGCACCTCAATTATGATTTTTACCTACTATATCAATACAAAATCCTTACATGGGAGGCTCATATCTACTCTTTTCTTGATCTGGGATACACTTTCTATTCTATTTTAAACATTAAATTAGTCTAGTGAATAGGTGAGTTTTCAGCAGTCACTCATATTCCAACACAGGTTTTAAAATCATGTCCATAATAACAAAACAATGTAATTTAGTTTCTGGTGATATTTTCTTGCAATCATGTTTGAGCTTTATGATCAAGACCATATTTATAACGTATGTGTAATTTACTCAGTTCGCTCAAATAACACTTTTTTCTTATTTTAATTCATGACTCAATGGATGAATGTTTGTTTTTCACGGAAACTTATAGGATCACTTTTAAATGTTATATTCGATCACCCTACAAAGGGCTTTGGATAATTTGGGGGATTATATGTTACAGTTCTTGTTTTTTATTTGGCGGCAACGTATATTGCCTAATTATTGTCTGCTTAATAATTATGAAAACTAGCCTGTGAAATATATGGTTTCTAGATCCCTGAAGTTGATGTCGGAAGTCTCCTTTGTAATGCAGATGAACTTCTTGCGGTCCATGATTCATTTCTCAGTGAATTAAAAGACACAAAAAATGATGACCAAAACCAGCTTAGTCGAATTGGTAAGTAGGGCTGTTAAATATAGAGAAAAAAGTTAAATATATAAACTAGGGTTGCACAGATACCAAGTACAGTACTCTGTACAAGTATGAGTACATGTACCGATACTTTTGAGCTCCAAGACTAGACTAGAGAAAAATTCAAAAATTAGGAGGCAGCTGTCATTTGTTACGAGCTCACAGAGCTCCCGGGATTTGTACATCTCTGTTTAAATGTACGATTTTGTTTTTATAAATATAAATAAAGGGATGCACAGATACCAGTTTTGCGAGTACGAGTACTGGTACTCGCCGAGTACATACAAGTACGAGTACTGATACATTTTTGTTTATTGTCATGTGACAGGTTTTCTAAAACAATACAGACTAAGGATTTCAGGACAGTGGTGGAGCGCCAGAGCCAGGTCCCAGCTGCGACCGCTGCAACCCTCGTAGTTCTCATGAAAATGCCAAGTATCTGCACTGGTACTCGAAAAGTATCTGTGCATCCCTAATATAAACCATAAAAAATATAAGTTAACTTCGTCTGGGAACTATGTACCACTCATAATATGTATGAGAGTTGCTATGCAAGCTCACAGTTCTCCATGTCTTACGATGTATTGAGGGTATATCTATATCAAAGAAATATAAGTGTCCCAAAGACTACTGATTACTGTGATAGCTGCTCAGCATTATATCTAAAGCCTGGGAAGATAGAATAAAGTCAGAAAAGGGAACCTAAACTAAAATCTGTTTTAAAAAGCTAATAGGGAATCTCTTTGGACCGAAAAATGGAAGGTGGCTTTGCTAACTTGCATGTGACAAAGCAAGCTCTGGTGGTCAACATATTTCTATATAATTTAATACTTAGTGAGACACTGATCGGAAACATGCATGCATGCAGGTTAGGATTTCAGATTTGACTGGCTTTGTGCTTTTTCTGGGTCAATGACATACTAGGTAGCAACGCTAGGATAAAGGTGACAGCTCCAGACCTTGGACCTATAAAAACAAGCAAGCAACAGTAGTTCCCATATTTCTTTCCCACTTTAATAAAAACAGGTCTAGCTGTCTAACTGTGTGCATTATCAGATATATAATGAAGACACATACTAAGATGCCTCTAAATGTTGTTCTACACAAATTTACCAACACATTTATATAAACGTGTTGTAATTGTAAATACAAGACTGAAGAGCATCATATTCAACAAGCTTCCATCAACTTTCTGAAAGACGTTAAATTATACCTTTACTTTGGCCATTTAGGGCAAAAACTACCACTTTATGGAAAGTATGGGATAGAGAAGTTACATGCTCCCCTACGGGGAAGTATCGAGTATTTTACGTGACTCCAGTGGGCGAAAAAAGATGATGGAAGAGTGCATGGGATATTAGGGTGTATCTACCCCACATTATTTTACAATTTTGAATAGAATGTCAAAAGTTTTATTGCTCTCTATGGTTCTGTTAGAGAGATTTCCATGAACTTTTAGTTCTAGGGACAACCACTTACCAGACAGAAAGTGAGGGAAAATCTGCAATGGGGAAGCAAGCAAAAAAGAAATCCGACAGGGGTTTTAGCATTCCCTTACTTAATTTGAAAAATATATGTACGTCTGTGTTTCTATTAAAGAGATTCCCCTCACTTTCTGCCCTATGGAAAAGGCTTTTTTTTTCTCACAGTGAAACTAAATGAATCTCTTCAATGAAGCCTCCAATAGCAGTAAAATTGACAAGAGTTCTAATCCTTCCCCACTCTATCCAAAATTAAAAAAAACATTTTGGCTATATATACATTTTAGAGTATATCTAAAGCCAAAACCTTTTTATCTGTAATTTTTTTGCCATCTCGAACTCAGTGCAAGTCTATGGGGCTAGAACTTTGAAAATCAAATGTCCCCTTTTTGAAGGCTTACATGCAAGTTAATGGCCATAAAAAGGATATGGGGATTCGGGTACTGCCCTGGGGGACAGGAATCAATTAAAAAAAGACTTTTAAAAAATACAATTTTTTAAGGAGCAGTGATTTTAACATCACTTAAAGTGAAACAATAAAAATGAAAAATCCCTTTAAAAAGCCAATCATCCCAGTCCAGGGAGATCACCCTATCGCATTCTGGAACAGCAGGTAACAACTGACTGTGTTTTGCTTTTCAGGAAACCTTTTTCACGAATACAGTGCAGATATGGAAAATGCATATGCTGTTTATTGTAATGGATATACAAGATCTTCAACACTACTTCAGAGTTACCAAGAAACACCTATATATGAAAAGATCCAGGAAGTACTGCAAATAGTACAGTGAGTGTGGCTACTTACTCTGTGTGTTGCATAACGCATGACAGCAGTTTACAGCTGAAAGACAGACAGAAAGACATTAAGACAGAAAGACATTTAAGTGCACCTGTTGCTTTTTGAGAAACTTTCTGCAAAGCAGAATGATATTGACAATAGGAATGTGTCTTTTAATTTTTGTCATTTGTGAATGTTTTAGTGTATATTGTTAGAGTGATGTGCAGCTCCTCTTTCCTTACAATCTGGCACTAGTGAAATGTGTGAATCTAAGGAGCTGTCTAAATCAGAAATATGATTGAGCATTCTTCAGTTGCCAGAATTTGTCAAAGATCAGGGCAACAAGCTTTAAGGGATGTGCTGCAGGGTTTGAGGATCCCCTGCCTCCCAACCCACCCATGCCTAAAGCAGAGATACAGTAGGTCTACATTTTTTAACAGCAATACAGTGTGCATTTAAAATAATCTATCTATATGTCCTGTGCTCATTTCTAACAGCTTTACATCATTCAGCACTTTCAACCCACTTTTCAGTTATATTTACTATATTTGTAAGTGAACTGCTCTAGTTGATATCCACCTACCTTGCGGTGCTTTTGCATGTATGCACACAGATGGAGCAAGAACACTCTCGATCTTTCTTGTTTACGCCTGCACATATAAACATAGTGTGCATGCATTTACTGTAGGTGATGTGGAATCAGCCTGCAGTGGTTCACATTCATCCACATTTTGGTTTCCCATGATTCATCCATTTGTACAGTACCCCATTGCTTTGGGCTATATAGCTAGATCTTAAATCTGAGCCCTCTGCTTCATCCATGATATGCCATTGCCGACATTCACCTTCTGCTTGGCTATTAAATAGCTGTCAACAGTTGTGTGATGACTACGGTATATTAATATCCTCTTTACTTTTGTTGCAAACCTCATATTCTGGAAGTATGACTCAGTTACTAAACATATGGATTAGGAAGATGTACCTATTTTAGTGTACAGCAAAAGTGTAAACAATAAGAGCATGCTGTCAAAGTGAATAGGGACCGTTCGGATCAAGCCAGGGAGCAGAAGTAAGGATCCAATTGGCTTCTGCACCTTTCTGTTGCAATAATTCTTATTGGTTTTGATGATGAATACAACAAATTAGAGTATCACACAGATTATGTTTCCACTAATTAGAGACGTAATAGCTGAATGCAGTTGAGTACATTGGCAAAGAGATTGGCTTGATAGCCTAGATTGATAGTTTTTACATAACAAATTTGCACCTCTATTGCTTGTGATGACATCATTTTGTGTTTTTAAATCACTCATTTTACCAGCATCTATGTTTCTTTGACAGATACATGGATAGCTCTAAACAATACAAAGACCTTTCCTTCTACCTGATACAGCCCGTGCAGCGTATCACCAGGTACCCCTTGTTTCTGCGCAGCATCCTGAAAAATGTACCACAAAATAGGCATTCACAGGAGCTACTTCAGAGAGCTCTGGACACCATGAATGAGGTGAACATCAACATAAATGAAAACAAGAGGCGTAAAGAAATTGGTGAGATAAGTTCGAATCTGTTGAACGATATTGATGGGGCAACTTTGTATTATTTGTTAATGTTTGAAACTATGTGAGGTGCTTTAACATGAGTGTTAAAGGAGAACTATGGGGTTAAGGCTTTTCCCCATAGTTCTCCTTTAACCATTTTTTTATGGTTTGGTTGAGATTTTATGAAAATATGGCTTTAATTGCTTTCTCCAGGTCCAGGAACTATCCTCGCAGATATTACCTGCACTACCACTGTTGGTGACGAATGGTACTATGCAAAAACAAAAATTTCCCAGCACACTCAACAGCCAGCCTGCAAAAAAAAAAAACAATGTCTAACTACTAGGGTTAAAAACAGAAGTTTTACTTGCACAACTTTTGCAAAATACGTGGAAGCCAGACTGTCTCGCCATGGCCCTTCTGTGTAGTACTGTGGTCCTAACTCTATTGGAGCCTCCATCTTGGAGGTACTGTGCCTTATGCTATAAAGGAATTAAAGTAGAAATATTCTTTCAACACCCACTACTTTTGGCACTAGCATGTTCTAATGTATGCAGATTTGCTATTTTTTGTTTTACCTGCAATTTTTACTTTTTAATAAAACTTTCTCTTTGCACTGTGCACATTTTGGCAGCTCTCCTGTTCAACTTTTGGGAATCATGTTTGTGTTATAGCCAAGGGTTATGTCCCCATTTTGTGACACTGCTGCTGATAACCAAAGCCTCTGTCAATCAAAGTGGGATAGGGCGTTTTGGAAGGCTTTGCTTGCAAGGATTGGGTCTCAATAGGCTCAGTTTAAACATGTAGGTACACTTTTCACTGGCATAGCAGCTTGTAGTTCTTAGGGGGAAGATGTTTAATAGGGTGACAGTGCTACTGCTCCACTGAGGCACTGTGTGTCAGTGTTGTAACTAGGGATGTACAGATACCGATACTAGTATCAGTATCTGTGTCACTACCGAGTATTTGGGCAAATACTCGTACTCGCCCAAATGCTCTGATACTTACCTCTGCTGGCAGTGCCGAGGGGGAGCATGGAGCTGGCTGTCTTTTCCTAATCAGGAAGCTGGCTTCGCTTGTTGCTAGGCAGCCTGGCTTCCTAATCAATCAGGAAGCCGGACAGCTTGTAATGACCCGCCTCCCGACTTCCTGATTGGTCAGGAAGCCAAGCTGCCTACAAACAAGTGAAGCTGGCTTCCTAGCCAATCAGAAACCCGGGCGGCATGTCATGACTTGCCTCCCGGCTTCCTAATTGGTCAGGAAGCCAGGCTGTTTACCAACAAGTAAAGCTGGCTTCCTAGTCAATCAGAAAGCCGGCGGCACGTAATGACCCGCCTCCCGGCTTCCTGATTACTCAAGAAACCAGGCTGCCTACCAACAAGTAAAGCTGGCTTCCTAGCCAATCAGAAAGCCGGGTGGCATGTCATTGACTCGCCTCCTGGGTTTCTGATTGGTCAAGAAGCCAGGATGCCTTGCAACAAGTGAAGCCGGCTTGCTAGCCAATCAGGAAGCCAGGAGGTGGGTCATGAGGTGCCATCCAGCTTCCTGATTGGCTAGGAAGCCGGCTTCACTTATTGCTAGGCAGCATGGCTTCCTGACCATTCAGGAAGCTGGGCGGCACCTCATGACCTGCCTCCCCGTTTCCTGATTGGTCACCCTATGACAGAAAGACCCTGGAGGTAGCTCTTGCTGGCAGGATCACTAGGTAAGCTTACAGTAAAAGTAAGCCCCAGAAAAAGAGTAAACACTTCTACGCTACTGGAACATATCCTAACATATATTTAATGTTTTACTTTAGACATTTAATATATTTGATATATAAAAGGAGATCAAAACATTTTTATTATAGTAATATCTAAACAGAGTATAGAGTTGGCAAAAAGCACTTTCAAAGTAAAAACCTTTTAGTGGCTAATTAAACATATGAAATAAATAATTCTAGCTTTTGCCTCTTGACTTGTCTGAAAAGGGAACCTACTGTTCTGAAAGCTTGCATTTTTTATTTATGTTACATACTAAAATGTATCATTTTTAGCTATTCTATGCTTTTACTTTGCTTTCTAATATCCCAACATAGAAGTTTAGGAACTTAAAGAATATGTGGAGTCACTAGAACCAAAGTACATAGACATACAGGAAGCATTAAAGAAGAACTCCATGATTTTTAAAAATTAACCCCTGCAGTGGAGCTACCCCGCACTGCAAGAGTTAAGTGCTTGTTTTGTCTAGGGGGTGATAAAGAAGAAATACCTACCCTATCCTTAGTCCTGCCTGGCTCTAGAGCGGTCGCCACACCCTCTTCTCCACCGAGCTCAGGCGCTCTAAGGACACGTGACATCATCATGTCTAATACAGGTCCATTAGATGTGAGAATGCCGAGGGACATACCAAAGCCAGAGTATTTCTTCTTTGTTTTTGCTCCTAGACCAAAACGAGCACTTAACTCTTGCAGTGCGTGGGTAGTCCACACCAAACAGTATTACTGAATAGATGGATCTGTAAAAGGTGTACACTTTATTCTTCACATGGCAGACACTGAAGTTAAATATACTGTAGATACTCCATGCAACATTCCTGTTACTATGATGCATTGTATAGCAAATTAAATGTAATTCTAAGCCCCTGTGTTCCTTTCAATCTGGCCATCGGTGACAGCTTGGCAGGCATTAGAAATATTAATTGGGTGCCCTATTTTTGATAGCTGTGTCATGCCCTAAATAAACCTGTTATAAACCTGAATGATTCAGATTATTTGATCTAAAAATACATCAAGCTTCAGTGAAAACTGAATGTCCAGATGAAACAGTATGAATGTTATCTTTTTTGTACAATATGATCTTAGCTGTGTCTGTGCCTACTTTCCAAGCCCGTTATTGGTCTATGAGGCTGCCCACCATATTATAGGGTCAAAAGGAAAGCTTAGAAGGTGGTAGAGGGTGAAGCCAAACAGGCATTTTCTAGCAAAAGTCAGAATTGTATCTAAAATATCACTTCCACTGCTTATATCTATTGATGCACTGCTTTTTTGCTATGTGGCTTTTTACTACAGGTAACCTCTGCGTATACATAATATATTTGAAAAATTTGCTGTTCTTTTACTTTTTTTAACTGCTAATCGCTGCAGCAAGGGTTAAAATACAATGTGCTAGCAAGACTTGGAGAGTCAGATCATGGCTCTCTCAACACTCTCCAGTGGTCTTACATACCCCATAACACTGCTCCAATCAACAGCACTGCTCAGGAGCAAAAGTGCTGTTGACTGGAGTAGTGTTTGGGGAAGTGGGGATAGCTGGAGAAAGCTGCGATACTGCTTGTGTGAGGAACCCATGGTTCCTTCTCATTCTCCCATGTTCATTCTCATGAGAATTCTCCCATGAGAATTCCCATGTGCGGCCAGCAGCAGGTATTTTTAGGCTGAATTTCTAGTAGATAAAAAAAATGCACAAATAATGCAGTTCTAATGTAGTTCTAAAACAAGAACAAGGCCATTAAAAATATATTCTTTTTTTTTTTGCACAGCTACAAAGTATCTGCAGCAAGACAAGAGTACTTGGAAGAAAAAAATATCTAACCTAAATACCCACACTATCAGTAAGAAAACGAACAGGTTAAGCACGCTTTTAAGAAAGCAGACAGGCATGTCTCCCAAGGTACGTCATTTTGACCTTGCCGTATCGGTCACTGTAACAATTCAGTTCAGGCTGTTTAGCACGGTAACATATGTTTATAGACTTAAAAATGCAGTTATATGTCAATAAAATATGCATTTGGTTGTTTTTTTTTCTTTACTAGTGCCATATGTAGCCCTGAATATCCTAGATTTGCACTTAGTCATAGCTGTATTCCTTTTTCAACCAAGTGACTTTAATATTCCTCTACTCTGCAAGAGGTCTTGTCATACCATAAATTACATAGTTTGGTGGTCTTTACCAAAATGTTTTTTCTACTGACTTTAGAAGTGGGGTGTGGTGATGTTTTCTTCTGCTCATAAGACCTTATGTCCAATAAATATCCTGGTTGGAAAGGTTGCTGATGATTATTGTTCGATAAACATATATTTACTGGACCCGGTTGGTCTTGTGAAATGCACTTTTACTCTTGTTGGAGCATCTCAACACATATTATTATTTTTGACACAGAGGACTGCTTGCCTATCCATCTGGTAATGAATCTATGAAGGCTTTCTCTGCTTTGTTTGCACTGCATAAGTACAAAACTTCTGTTAGGTTTTTTTAATAGTAAGGTATTTTCCATCCTTCACATATCATAATAATATGTGAATGGTGGAAAAGTCTTTCTTAGTTGTTGGGTGGTTGATAACAGAAGGAGGTCTGTATGACACCCATAGATCTATGGGGCCACTCCACTGGTCAGTTTCTAGAATAAGTTTTATTTGTATTCAAAGATTCAGCCAATGTGTTTCGGGGGTTCCCCTTCATCATCATCCCGATGAAAGGGTAACCTCTACTATGTTGCTGAATCTGTTAAATACAAATACATTTTATTCTGAACATTTAGCAGTGGAGTGCCACTTTCATCTCTCAACCCCCTGCACGATTTTTAAGGACCATCCTAAAAAGTCTTTAGGAGTAGAGAGCTGACCACAAGCCTCTACAAATTATTATTGTTATTATTCACCTCACATTGCAATGCTCCTAGCAGTCTAGTGCTCCTCATTTTCACCATAATAAAAGATCTATAGGAATTACTTTTGGGAAGAAATCCTTTAGAATGGATAGAAGTGGCCATCTCCAGAAGGAAGGCTGTTTTCAGAAAAGTTGGCTTTTTAAAGCAGTCCTCAGTGGATTCAGAAATGGTTTCTTGCAGTGCTATGAAGTTCTACCATGGAGAACATATTGTACCATGGCTTAATACAGACCACAGCCCTGAAAAAAAGTTGTTCAGCAAGTCACCAGAAATCATTCCATAAATAATCTCCATTGTTTTTATGGTGACATTATTAAAGCTCTCTTAAACCAATTTTTAAGCCGTGCCTCCTGGTTTGTTTGGGGTACTGTTTTCTTAAACTTAACAGTTCCAGAGTTAGGAAAGGGGATAAGTATTGGAATTTGCTTGGAATATACACATGAATTCCCATATATTCACAGCTTGTGGAACTAAAACCAGTTTGTCCATCTGCCCTCTACTTTTGAATGTGTTTAGATTTAGGAGCTGTACGATTATATAGTTACATAATATTTGAGGTTGGATAAAGACATAAGTCCATCAAGTCCAACCTATTGCGTGTATGCATTTATGTTTGAGCTGGTGTGTGCGTGTGTATGAATCCATGTGTGATTTTGCTCTTAGCAGTACCTGTACCCCTGAATGTTTTGGTCTCCAAGGAAATCGAAGTGTTTTCTGAATGATTCCACACTCTTTGCTGAAATCACCTTAACCGCTCTAACTGACAAGAACCCCTTGCGCCACGTGTGCTGAAATTTTTTCTCCACCAATTTTAGGTGGTGCCCTCTAGTCTTTGTTATGGGGTTAACTGTAAAGAGTTTGTTAATAATGTTGCCTTTACCATTGAACATTTTATACAAGAAAATCATGTCCCCCCTTAATCTCCTTACTTCCAAAGAGAACATATTTAATTTTAAGAGCCTTGTTTCATAGCTCTGGTCCTCCAACCCCTTGATGAGTTTTGTTGCCCTGCGCTGGACTTTTTCCAGCTCACGGACATCTTTTCTGAGGACTGGTGACCAAAACTGGACCGCATACTCCAGATGAGGCCGAACTAGTGCTCTTTAAAGTGGCAAAATTATAGACCTGCCCCTGCAATACATTCCCTTCTTAATGCAAGACAGTACTCTACTTGCTTTGTTTACAGCAGCCTGGCACTGCAAGCTATTCTTCAATCTGTGGTCTACAATGACCCCCAAATCTTTCTCCATTACTGACTTCCCTAGTGGCATACCCATAAGTGTATAGCCCATTTGCCTATTTTTAACTCCAAAGTGCATTACTTTGCATTTATCGACATTAAACCTCATGTGCCATACAGTTGCCCACTCCCCTATTTTATCCAGGTCCTCCTGTAATGTTACAGTATCTATGTCCGTGCCTATTACCCTCCCAATTTTGGTATCATCAGCAAACACTGAAACATGGCTATTCACTCCCTCCCCGATATCATTAATGAACAGGTTGAAAAGCAAGGGCCCAGTACAGAACCCTGAGGCACACCACTCATGACCTCAGCCCAGTCTGAAAAGGTGCCATTAACCGATACTCTTTGTACATGTTCCCATAGCCAGTTTTCTATACAGTGAGATTTTATTATGTACTGTCAGAAAAATATAGGCTGGTTCATCTTAAGGTTTCTCCATTCTTTGCTTATTTCATCTTAAAGAAATTCAATGATAGTGGCAACCTTTTGTTTGGTAAAGCTTTTGTAAGAAATTCAGGGAAATGTACGGTATCAGGTTGTACTGACTCAATGGTGTTTTCATGGCAGAATGTTATAGTTTAAAAGAATGGTTTCTTATGTGTAATCCCCTGATTTAGATTGAAGTTAAAGTATATGTTTCCTATAGTTTAATTTGGATCTTTTATAACTATTGTTATTCATAAGGATTCCTTTTAAGGTTCTATTTTACTTTCAGAAAGAAGACAAAGAATTTGACAGCTTTACTGAAAAGTTTCACAGATTGGCAAACTTTGTTTCCCAGCTGGAAGAAAACGTAATACTGTATGTAAGAAATATAGAGGTAAGCAAAACTATATAAGATAATGTCTCATCAATAGAATTTCAACAGAACTAAAATTCAAAGTTTGGATGACAAGTGCAGAGTCATGCATTTTGCAGGTATACAATAGATAAAAAAGCATTTGATTTGGCATAGCCTGTATACAACAATACACTGTTTTGCAATGTATTAGAAGAAAGTAATTTAAGGATTTAAAAATGTGTACCTAAAATGCATGGTAGCCCCTGTGTCCTGGAGAGTGGCTGGGCTGTAGCTGAAGTTCTGAGGGTAATACATTTACATTGCAAAGATATCTGAATAAATACTGCTTACAGCAGACAGGGGAATCTGTAACGAGTGAACAATCGTGATTACTCTTCTTGTACATTTGACCTAATTTATTCTAGATTACAGACTTTACAGTTTAATTTGTCTTAACAACCTCCCTAATGGGGTCCCCTCCCGCCCCAGGCCCCATAGAAGCTGCGTGGGCTGCTATGGCTATAGGTACACCGCTAGTCTTTGTGTTAAATTGTAGGCCTTTTATTAGTGTCTGTGAGATTTACACTTCAGAAGCAGTGATTAGATCCTAAAGCTAGATGTACAACTGCCCCCTGCAATCCACACTTACAGGGTTAGTCACACAAAGGTGAAGAGTTTGGAGAAGGCAGGAGAAGTGAACAATATAGACCAAATTGCTGATTTGGAAAAAATCTCCAATTCAGCTCACTTTCCAGTTTATGTTGTCCTAGATTGTTTACTTCTTTTGTGAATATCCCTGCTAGTGTTATTTACCAGATTATGCTACGTAGTACACGCAGTTCTGTAGAATCCAGATTCATTGCTCAATTACCTAAATCAGATGATCTGTTGGTCTAAACTGCACTGGTGATTTTGAAATCTGTTTATTGAACAGTTGTGCAAGATTGCAAATGCATTTGGGTCCAATATGTACTGCATTCCAAATAATAGATTGCACAAGAAAGAGTATCAAAAATAAAAGATAAGACCGTCGCAAATGCCTTTGCACACGCTCTGTATGTCCACGTATGTGCAGGAACAGAACTTCAAGCTGTTGACCAGGTGGTATAGGCCACTAGTTAGGATGCACCAGATTTCCCCAGTGGATCCAGACACCTGCTGGAGATGCCAAGCTGGGCTTGGCACGCTGGTCCACATTTGGTGGAGCTGCCCTCTGCTTTTGCCCTTTTGGCAAGCTGTCTAACATGTCTACTCTAGAGTCACCTCCATCGAAATACACATCATGCCTAAAATGGCTTTACTTTCGGTCTTCCCGGGCTCTATCTCCAAGGTGAAGAAATCTCTGGTCAGATTTTTTGTCATCGCTGCCAGAGCTTTAAATCCTTGGCATTGGAATTCCCCTGTCATTCCCTCGGTTTCAGAATGGACGGCGGAAGTGTGTCGGCTGATGAGATCTGAGGAGCTAATTGCAGAATGGGCTGACCGATCTGATACCTTTATGGCCAGATGGATGCCCTGGATTTTGTTGAGTTTTGGTCTCTGCGGTGAGTTCATATCGGTACCTCCAGTACCCCAGCGACTATGGGGGATTCCATGAGATGGGCTGTTTGGCGGTTGCCTCCCTACAAACCGAGGCGGAGAGCGGACATTCCCTCCCCTACCTTTTTTCTTTCCCATGCTCCTTTATTCGGCTTTTTGCCCCCCCTCTCCCCCTTCCTACTCGTGTCTCCTCTACACCCCTCCTTCTTTCTCCCTGTTTGTCTGTTGTAAATGCCCTTGTCCGATATTTTTTTGGACGAAATTTCGTTAGTAGCAAAGTGACAGAATTTTTTTTTTACAGTCTGCAGAAGATTAAAAAAGTCGGCAGAAGATGAAATTAGTTAGCGGTAGTCCGGTCGAAATTTCGTTTATTGAACGAAATTTCGTTAGCAGCAAAGTGACATTAGAATTTTTTTTTAAAGTCTGCAGAAGATGAAAAAAAAAAAAAGCGTGAGGTTCCCCCCAATTCATACCAGACTCTTTAGGTATGGTAGGAATGTTAGGAGGGACCCTCCCCCAAGTTAAAACAAAAAAAAAGTGCGTGGGGTACCCCCCAAAATCCCTACCAGACCCTTTAGGTCTGGTAGGAATTTTAAGGGGAAACCCCAGCCCCACAAAATGGGGGGAAAAAAAACGTGGGGTCCCCCCTAACAGTCCTACCTTGATCCGAGCAGTGCCCCCCCTCACTGCGCCTTACCAGGCCACGTGCCCTCGGCATTGGGAGGGTGTCCCCGTGCCGATGGGGACGAGGGCCTCTTCCTCACAACCCTGACCCGGTGGTTGTGGGGCTCTGCGGGCACCCAGATGCCGCCCTCCCCCCTTGTGAATAAGGGGTATACCCATTCACTAAAGGGTTACATCAAATAGTTAGTAAAAAGTCCAGACTTTTAGATAAAATCCTTTAATTGAAAAAAAACCCAAAGATTACATTTTTGACTATTCCACCCTCCCAATGCCGAGGGCACGTGGCCTGGTAAGGCGCAGGAAGGGGGGCGCTCAATCGCCCCCCCCCCTTTCCTGCCCCGCCGGGCCCGTGCTCGGATCAAGGGTCTGG